TGTGAACAGAGAAGGGGCAGAAAGAAGAAGAGAAAGAATCCCAAGCAGGCTTCACACTGTCAGTGGGGACCCAGATGGAGGACTCTATATCAGGAAATCATAAGATCACCACCTGAGCTGAAATCAAGAGTCAGACACTTAACCGACTGAGCCACCCAGGCGCCCCTATTTAATTTAAAAAAAAAAAAAAAATTATGGTAGTTTTTTTTTTCTGTATCATTTCCCCATAATCTGGATTTTTCCATTGTTTGACAGTGCTGTGATTTTGACTGTTCCTTTGATCTCTGTAGTCCCCGTAAATTGAAAGTTAGAGGTAGAGGCTTGATCAGATTCAAGTTTGATGGTTTTGGTTGTGCCTTGTACTTCCGTAAGGGGGTTAATTAAGTCTGGTTGTCTGGTTGGTTTTGTGATTTTGGTGGTCATAGATGGTAATTGCCTACATCCATTAAATCATCAGAATTCTTGTACCTTTGACTTTTAGTATTAGTTACTCTTGTCCTTTCTGACTTTAGAGTATTTCACTTTTCTGTTTTTCTCTTTTATTCTTGGTTACTCTGCTGTAGTTTCCTTAGGAACACTCTGTAGATCTGTAGGTAATTCTGTAATTTTGTAATTTTTTTGTTTTGGTTAGCTACCACTTAGTCTCTGATTCCCCAGAATTCTCAGCACAGTACTTTTATTTTAAGCTCCATAACCACATATCCAGGATGCTTCATGGGTATACTGTGTTTCTTCTCTGAGCTGCTCAGTCATAATAATTTTTTGGTTTTCTTCCTTCCCTAGGGGCTGCTGCTGACCCGTTTCCTTATCCAGCTCCCCTTGAAAGACAGTACAAATTAAAGTTTAAGAGTTCTGGCTCTGGTGCCAGACTGTTTAGGTTTGTATACTGTCATGACTATTAGATATGTTTTCTTGGGCCATTTACTTAACTTTCCTATGCCTCAACTCATCTGTAAAACATGGCTAATAATCATCCCTACCTCATTGGGTTTTATGAGGATTTGGAGAGTTAATATATCTAAAATGTTTAGAACATTCAGCGCCTGTTAATTGCTATTATGACTATTATTCCGCATTCTACTGACCTTAAATGTAGATGTTTTTGTTACTTTGTCCTTGCTCCTTCTCTTCTAAAATTCCCATTTCATCCATTCCCACAGTTTTAATTATTGTCGTTGAGCCAGTTAATTTCAAGTGCTTACCCTTCAGGTTTAAAATCTGTAGAATTTAGCACGCCGGCTGATCTTTTGGGGAATCCTGAAGGTCTAACCTATTCAGATCCATTTGGTTGTGGTGTAGAATTCTTTTTATACATTGTTGGATTCAGTTTGCTGATATTTTGTTAAGGATTATATTATACTGTCTATGGCCATACCACCCTGAACGCGCCCAATCTGATCTTAGAAGCTAAGCAGGGTCGGCCTGGTTAGTACTTGGATGGGAGGATTATATTATACCATAATTCTTCCATAATTTCAGAGGATAGAAGCAGAGGACGTACTTTCTAACTCATTCTTCAAGGCCAGCATTACTCTAGGAGCAAAACCACACAGATGTTATAAAGGAAAACTACTGACAAATCTCACATGAACACAGATGTAAAAATCCTCAGCTACTCAGATCTGTGTTAAGTTGGGCTGTGAGGGCTGGTTCTTATATCTCCCAACTCAGTTTTGGAAAATGGATATGCGTGGGGAAGTGGTGTGACCTTGGGTGGAGCAACTCTTTTCAGCTCATGTAGTCCCCATAGATGAGGGCTGTTAGCTGGTGGCACTCCCTACAGATCTAGTAGATCCTTTTGTTCCTAAAAAGGTGTCATATTGCAGCATCTACTACACTACCATTTTCCCCCATCTCTAAAATGACCATCAACCTATTTGTTCAGTGACATTTTTCATTTTTTCTCTCCTTGGTACTATTGAAACATTTTCTACCTTCAAATATATATCTCAGACATTGTTTTCCTCTTACCTCCTATCAAAGATACCTTTCTCTTTCCTCTCCTCTGACCTCATACGCACTCTCTTCACCTCCACTTTTGCCCCTTGGCAAGCTCTGCCACACAGCAAACAGTCCTCTTAAGCTTTAATCAGATCTGGACATTTCCTCTGTCACTGTGGAAAGGCTTTTCCTTGTACTTAGGATAAAAATGTCAGTTTCTTGCCCTGGTCTACAAGATTGACTCTTATTGCCTCTGGCTCTAACCTGTCAGATGCTGATACCCCTCATCAACTGTTCAGCCATACTGGTTTCCTCTTATTTCACGGAAAAGCCAACCTGTTTCCTATATCAGGACTTCAGCTTTTTCTTCCATCTAGAATGACAGCTACTACCTTCATCTTTCACATCCTTCAGGTCTCAGCTTAAACACCACTTCCTCAAACTCCTCAGAGAGAGAGGTTTCTTGTTTTCCTTCTTCATTTCCTTACTCTATCATGTCCTTGGTTGTTTCCTTTAAAATTATCACTTTGTTTATTTGTTTGTTTGTTTGTTTATAGTGAGCAAGTGTGAGCGGGGAAGGGACAGAGTTGGGGAGAGAGAATCCCAAGAATGCTTTGTGCTATCAGCAGAGAGCCCAGTGTCATCTCAAGAAGTGTGAGACAATGATTAGAGCTGAGATCCAACAGTCAGATACTTAACCGACTGAGCCACCCAGGTGCCCATTACTACATTAAAAAAAATTTTTTTTAATTTAAATTTGAGTTATTTGGGGCACTTGGGTGGCTCAGTCGGTTAAGTGGCTGACTTCGGCTTAGGTCATGATCTCATTCATAGTTCAGGAGTTGGAGCCCCGCGTCAGGCTTTGTGCTGACAGCCTGGAGCCTGCTTCAGATTCTGTGTTTCCCTCTCTCTCCCCTTCCCTGTTCATGCTCTGTCTCTCTGTCTTTCAAAAAAAAAAAAAAGTTTAAAAAAGTAAAAAAATTTGAATTTGAGATATTTAAAATATACAGTGGAATATTAGTTTCAGATATACAAGATAGTGATTAAACACTTACTTAAAACACCCAGTGCTCATCACAAGTACTCCTTTATCCTCAGCATCTGTTTTAACCCATCTTCCCGCCCACCTCCGCTCTGGTAATAATCATCAGTCTGTTCTTTGTAGCAAGAGTCTGTTTCTTGGTTTGCTCTTCTCTCTCCCTTTTTTCCCCCTTGGTTTGTTTTGTTTCTTAAATTCCACATAGGAGTAAAATCATATGGTATTTGTCTTTCTGTGACTTATTTCCATTAGCATAATACCCTTTAGGTTCATCCATGTTGCTGCAGATGGCAAGATTTCATTCTTCTTTATGGCTGAATAGTATTTCATTGTGTGTTATATATACGCATACCACATCTTCTTTTCTCCCTCTCCCCATCATTTTGATAGACACTTAGGCTGTTTCCATAATTTTGCTATTATATGTAATGCTTCTTTAAACATCCCTTTGAATTAGTATTTTTGTATTCTTTGGATAAATGCCAAGTAGTGTTATTATTTGATTGTTGGATAGTTCTATTTTTAATTCATTCAATACATTTTAAAAAAATCTTTATTTTTTGAGAGAGAATGAGGAAGTGAATGAGGAGAGGCAGAGAGAGGGCGGACAAAGGATCCAAAGTGGGCTCCATGCTGACAGCAGTAAGCCTGATGAGATCACGACCTGAACTAAAATTGGAAGCTTAAGCAGTTGAGCCACCCAGGCACTCTTCACTTACTACATTTTTTTTTTTTTTAACTTACTGAACCACCCAGGCACCCCCATTTACTACATTTTTAAAAAATGTTTTGTTTTATTTATTTATTTATTTATTTATTTATTTATTTATTTATTTATTTTCAGAGAGAGAGAGAGCGCGTGCGCATGTGAGCAGGGGCAGGGCAGAGAGAAAGGGAGACCCAGAATCTGAAGCAGGCTCCAGGCTCTGAGCTGTCAGCAGAGCCTGATGCGGGGCTCAAGCTCATGAACCACGAGATGATGATCTGATCTGAAGTTGGGCACTTAACCAACTGAGCCACCCAGGCTTCCCAATGACCATTCATTTTTCTGCTTCAAAATGGAATTTTTCCTTATTGTCCATAGGATAAAAAAAAGTCTGTGTTTCATAACTTTGTCTACAGATCCCATCTGCCTTTTACCTTCCTTTCCACTTTTCTTTCTAGCTGTCCTTCCCTTTTATGCCACTGTATTCCATTAATGCTAATCTGTTTAGGGTCTTTACAAGTAATCTGCTGGTCTATGCCTCCTTGCCTTTGATATGTTCTTCCATCCCCTCCACCCCACCCCCAAATTGGTATTTATTTAGTTGTCAGAACTTTTCCCAAAGTTAATCTCCTCTGTACTAATTTAATACCTAGTACAACTTACTACTGCATGTAATACATTATTATAATAATTTATTTACCTGATGTGCCTTCCTAGACTGAATTTCTTGTGGTTACAGGTATCTAACTACCTTGTGTGACCATTACTTAACATAGGATCTTGTACACAGAAGATGCTCGGTAAATCTTTTCTAAATAAAACCTAGTACTACCCATTCATTTTATAGATGAGGAAAATGAGGCCCAGAGCGGTAAGTGACTTGTTAAAGGCTATCTATTAATTTAGTTAAAAGTAATAATTGATAGTGTTATTTGCATATTATATATCCTGTACTATTTACCTATTTCATTGTTTTTTTGTTTTTTTGTGAGCAAGGTTACTGTGGCTAAAACTGGGCTCTGGAGTTGGATGGGTTTTGATTCCTGATTCTGCTACATATTTTGACTTTGAGCAAGTCACTTAACATCTTTAAGCTCTAGTATCTTCACTTATAAGATACTAATTAATAGTATTATAGTATTATAAAGAATAAATGAGGTAATCTGAGTAAAGGTTAGAACAATGCTTGGCACAGAGTAAGCAGTAAATATAGTCATTATTATTAGAATCTATCACTGTTCACTGACCACAGTGTCTCCTGGAAAAGGCATGATATTTAGTTGTTATTACAGGCTGGTTCTGGTTTTCTTATAGGCAAGTTGACTGATAGAACAGCAAGCATTTTCCGAGGCAACCAAATGAAACTGAAGCTGGTCAATATTCAAAAAGCTAAAATCTCGACAGCTGCGTTCACAAAAGCCTTCTGCCATCACAAAGTCATTGAGCTGGATGCTACTGCAGTGCACACTGACCTCCCAATTCCAGACATCCTAAGTGGACTCTGCAGCAATAGCTGGATCCAGCAAAACCTTCGGTGTCTCCTGTTGGACTCGACAAGCATCCCTCAGGATTCAAGATTACCGTTCTTTGGTCAGCTTACCGGTCTTCGCATTTTAAGTGTTTTCAATGTTTGTTTTCATAGTGAAGACCTGGCTAATGTTTCTCAGTTACCAAAACTGGAAAGCTTGGATATCTCCAATACTATGGTCACTAACATCTCTGCACTCCTTACCTGTAAGGATCGACTCAAGTCTCTCACAATGCACTATCTGAAGTGTCTGACCATGACCAAACCACAGATTCTCGCAGTTATTAGAGAACTTAAATGTCTGCTTCACCTTGATATTTCTGATCACAGGCAACTGAAATCAGATCTAGCTTTTCATTTGCTGCAGCAAAAGGATATTCTGCCTAATATTGTGTCACTGGATATATCAGGTGGCAGTTGCATCACCGATGGAGCTGTAGAACTGTTTATACGGCAGCGGCCTGCGATGCAGTTTGTGGGACTGTTGGCTACAGATGCTGGTTATTCTGACTTCTTTACTGCAAAGCAAGGCTTGAGGGTTGGTTTTTTTTTGTTTTTTGTTTTTTTTAATCTGAAATAAGTTTGTTTTCATTTGTTCAGAACGTTATCAGGCTTTTGTATATCAGAATCTGTGCTAGGTATTAGGGTTACAAAGACAAATAAAAAATCCTTAAGGAGCTTAACAATAATTATTGTGTAGGTAGTATGTAGTAGGTTGTGGAATTATAATCTAAAGCAAGATATGGTCCTGGCGTGCAGGTCTTCTAGTCTAGTTTGGTATAAATATAGCTATTTATACATTCCTGCCTATATGCCAGATGCCACGTTGTGCATGTTGTTTTCCTCTTTCATCCTCCCATTTTATAAGTGAGGAAATGGAAGCTCAAGTTAAGCTTCTTAGCCATAATCATGTAACAGCCTATTAAATGGTAGAGCTAGGACTTCTATCCAAGTCTTTGTGACCTTAAAACTTGCTCTGTTCACCTCTGTTAACGTTTAATTATAATTAGTAAGGCAGCGATCAACATTTTTGCCAAATGTATGAGAGAAAACAATTTTGAAAAGAGTCTTAAGAAAAAAGTTTGGAACATTGCCAGAGCAAGTTTATAGCCAATCATGGTGCTGATTTTTTTTGTTGTTGTTTTAAATGTGGAACTCTACGAATTTGCATGTTATCCTTGTCAGGACCATGCTAATCTCTGTATTGTTTCAGTTTTAGTTTTAGCTTATTGCTGAAGCAAGCATTTATGGTGCTGTTTTTAAAACAACACACATTGGGGCGCCTGGGGTCAGCTCAGATCATGATCTCACAGCTTGGGCGTTCGAGCCCTGCATCGGGGCTGTGCTGACAGCTCGGAGCCTGCAGCCTACTTTGGATTCTATGTCTCCCTCTCTGCCCCTCCTTTGCTCATACTGTTTCTCTCTCTCTCTCAAAAATAAATAAACATTAAAAAAGATAAAGCAACACAAATTTAAGTATTTATGTTCCAGAGTATTTCATGGATTTATTTATATTTTGAGAGGGAGTGCAGGAGGGGCAGAGGGAGAGAGAGAATCCCAAGCAGGCTCCACACTGCCAGCATGGAGCCTGACATGAGGCCCAAACCCATTAACTGCGAGATCATGACCTGAGCTGAAATCAGAAGTTCCAATGCTTAACTGACTGAGCCACTCGGTGCTCCTAGAATATATATTTTTTAAAACCGTGGTTTTCTACCTTGATTGTACTTTGTAATCACTTTGGAAGCTTTGAACTATACTGGTGCCTGTATCCTATCTCCCATAGATTCTGATTTAATTGATTTGGGACTTGGCATGAGCATTAAAATTTTGAAAGCTCCCAGGTAATTCTAATGTGCAGCTAAGGTTCAGAACCACTGCTTTGAAATGCTTTATATTTATACCATATGTAATTCTTTCTAGGGTGAGAGAGAGTAAGATGATTTGCAGTCCTTAGTTGTTTTCATTCATCTATATCTACCTGTCTATCTTACCTATCTATTTATCTATCTATCTATCTATCTATCTATCTATCTATGTTGGCACTACACCCAATATGGGGTTGAACTCACAGCTGGGAGACTAAGGGATGCATGTTCCACTGACTGAACCAGCCAGGCATCCCCGTTTTTTCCCCACATTTTTATTCTTTTTTTTCTTAAATAAAAGGTCTCTCACATATTTATTACTAAACCAGCCTACTCGTGCAGAAGCATAGTGACAGACGAAAATCACTTCCTGATAAAACATGTCTGTTGTTCAGGTAGTAGTGATGCTTACAGAATTATAGGATATGAACACATTACCTTCATGCAACATAAATATGTGTGTCATCTCACATGCAATCCATTGTAGACCCAGCTTGGTTCCTCTCTGATGTCTCCTCTTAGAGCTATACCTGATTTTATTACCAGTTTTCTTGTAAATTGACTAGGGAATGGAGCGCTTCTGCTTTTGTTTCTTGGCCAGGAATTATTGGGTTCTGAAAGTCTTTTTAAAAAAATTTTTTTTAACGTTTGTTTATTTTTGAGACAGAGACAGAGCACAAGCTGGGGAGGGGCCGAGAGAGAGGAAGACACAGAATCTGAAACAGGTTCCAGGCTCTGAGCTATCAGCACAGATCCTGGTGCGGGGCTTGGACCCATGGACCGCAAGATCATGACCTGAGCCGAAGTCAGATGCCTAACTGACTGAGCCACCCAGGTGCCCCGATTCTGAGTCTTGTAAGAAGACATGGAGAGGGATAGGTGCACACCCCATGATGGCAGAGGAAAGGAGAGAGCTGTTTTCACATTTTTATTCTTTTAATTTGAAAATAGCCATTGTATTTTGAAGCCTTTTTAAAATAATTTTTTTAACATTTATTTATTTTTGAGAGACAGAGTGTGAATGAGGGAGGGGCAGAGAGAGAGGGAGACACAGAATTTGAAGCAGGCTCCAGCCTCTGAGGTATCAGCCCAGAGCTGGATATGGGACTCGAACTCATAACGAGATCATGACCCCTGAACTGAAGTCGGGCACTTAACTGACTGAGCCACCCAGGGGCCCTTGAAGTCTTTTTAATTTTCTGGCATGCCTAATGAAGGTGGAAGCCATCAGTTACATCATTAGAGTAGAAATAGAGATAATAATGTGAACTTTTAGGTTAGGTACATAGAGAATTGTTTACCGGGAATGTATACTTAGGCCTGTTTCAGATTAATAGCAGTTGGTGTCAACAATCATCAAAAGACCACAGCTATCGGGGGAAAATTTTTTTTAGTACATAAACTCTTGGTATATGCAGTAATACGGGAGAAATGCTGGAATATTCTGCAGAGGGATAATGAGTGTAGTTAAGATACTATCAAAGTGGGTACACCAAAAGGAAATGGGGAGCTGTGTTTCAGTATACACAGCTTATCTGGTATACATGTAAGTTTAGTTTATTTTGAAAATTTTAAATTCTGCATTATATACAGTGTTAGATACTTTGGGATGGAGAGGAGAAACTATGATCTTCCCAGTACTAAGAAACGCTGAAGATCTTAAGCCAGCCTTATGTGGAGTGGAGTGTAGGGTATGGCAAATTTAAAATTTTAATGATTCAGAAAAACTTTTATTTAATGGAAATACTGTTTTAGATCAGATGCAAAGTATACTAAGTATCTTTGTTATTTAGGTTGATCAAATATTTGCTTGCATTAACATGAATAAAATCAAATGTAAGCAAAGACCTTCAAACACAACAAATATGTTATTTATTGCCCCCCAAATTAGAATGGGAAACATGTACTTAACTCCTTTAAAATGGGCAGAAAGCAGGGGCACTTGGCTGGCTCAGTCCATAGAGCATACAACTCTTGATCTTCAGGTCACGAGTTCAAGCCCCATGACCCTCCCCTGTTCACATTGTGTGTGTCTCTCTCTCAGAAATAAATAAAAACATTTTAAAAAATTTAAAAAAAAACCTTTAAATGATTTTAGAATATATCCATTGTTTTAGATTGTTTTTTTAAACAATTATTTAATGTATATTTATTTTTATTTTGAGAGAGAGACAGCATGCGTGAGCAGGAGAGGAACAGAAAGAGGGAGACACAGAATCTAAAGCAGGCTCCAGCCTCTGAGCTGTCAGCACAGAGTCTGATGCGGGGCACAAACCCACGAACAGTGAGATCAGACCTGAACTGAAGTTGGACGCTTAGCTGACTGAGCCACCCAGGTGCCCCTGTTTTAGATTCTTAATGTGGAAGAGTTCCTTAGTCCTTCCTGTCCTTTGTGACATTGATATTTTTGAAGAATACAGATTAGCTTTGTTTTGTTGACTTTTTGAAAGAATGTTCCTCATTTTGGATTTGTCTAACGTTTCCTTATAATTAGATTCTTCATTTTTGGCCAGAATTCCACGTGAGTTATGTTGTATCAGTCTCAAAGACTACAATCCTGAAGCACACAGTGCCCCTCATGAGTCCTGTTACTTTTCATCATACAGAGAATTGTCCAGATATTATACAAAATATCCTGTATAGATAAAATACTATCTACGTAGTATTGTATTGTCTCTACACTACATGGATGGTATTTTTTTCTCTTGCAACCAATAAGTGATATATAATATACTTGAAGACTATGAAAGTATCTTGATCCTCATCAATCTTTCTAATCTAGATTTAGCATCCATTGATGATTCTTACTTGAATCAGTCTTTACTGGAATGGTTGCAAAGTGATGATTTTCCAGTCTAGCCCTCAGTTGTACTTTTAGCAATAGGCTTCTCCACCTGTCTGTCTAGCTTAATCTCAATATGAACTCATTGATTCTTGTTGTTTTCAGTGCTTTACAATTCAGTACTGTCCTTAATTATTTTGATGCCCAGTTTGTTACAGATTGGCCAGTGGGTGGCTCCTGTTATTTTTACACATCCCCATTATTATAATTGTTGTTATTATTTTAAGATTTTTATTTCATTTTTTTAAATGTTATTATTTTGAAAGAGAGTGTGAGCAGAGGAGGGGGCGGGAGGTGGAGGATCTGAAGCAGGCTCTACACAGACAGCAGTGAACCAGATGCAGGGCTCAAACTCACAAACTGTGGGATCATGACCTGAGCCCAAGTTGGACACTCAACCAACTAAGCCATCCAAGCTCCCCTTTGTTGTTGTTTTTGATCACTTCCTCACTTTCTGGCACATTAAGATGTTTTAGGCTCCATATACTTTCATGGACCTAGCCCTTCTGGCATTTCTACTAGGAGCCCTGATTCCTTTTATTAAGCCAATATCTGAATACTAGGTATGTTCATAGTTGTTGGGGTATCTTTGTTGTTATCGTTGTTTAATGTTTATTTATTTATTTATTTTGAGAGAGAGAGAGAGAGAGAATGTGAGGAGGGGAGGGGCAGAGAGAGAGGGAGAAAGAAAAAGAATCTCAAGCAGGCTCCATGCTGCCAGTACAGAGCTGTGTGTGGGGCTTGAACTCAAGAACAATGAGATCATGACCTGAGCTGAAATGAAGAGTTAGACACTTAACCAACTGAGCCACCAAGGTGCTCCTGGGT